AACTCAGATAGCATAATGCCTAAAATGAGAGAAAGAGAGAAAAGAGAGGTGCCTGCCATAAAGGCAGGCTGGGGTAGGGGGTGGCTTGAAGGGGTGAGAACAAAACTGGCAAGGGGAGGTCTGGAGTGATAGCACAGCCGCGAGTGCATTTGCCTTGCATGCAGCTGACCCGGATTCGATTCCCAGCATCCCATATGGTCCCCGAGCACCTCCAGGAGTAACTCCTGAGCATTGCTGGGTGTGATCCAAAAGGCAAAAAAAAAAAAAAAAAAAACTGGGGACACTGATGCTGGGAAATTACACTGGTGGAGGGATGGGTGTTGGAACACTGAAACCCAATCATGAACAATTTTGTGATGTTCTATCTCAATAATTTAAAATATATATATATATATATATAAGTAATCAGATAGCATGCATGAGGGTCAGGTGTGTCATGTCTAACGAGGCCTGATCAATTCAGCAGTCGCCAATAGCATGTGGAAACATTCTCTTTGAAAACTAAAATTTTAATTCAAAATCTCCCAAATTTTGAAGGCTAATTTTTCTAATTTTTCTAATATTTAAATATTGTCTTAACTTTAAAAAAAATTGAAACACCACGATTTACAAAATTGTTCATAACATAGTTGTTTCAGGCATTCAATGTTCCAATACCAATCCCCCCACCAGTGTGACCTTCCCTCTAACAGCATTGCCTTTTGTAATCTCCATGCAAAAAAACACTGGATTCTTGCTTAGTCTAATCCACTGGACTATTTTATAACCTCAGCAGCCACAGCAGTCGTTACTCAGTGTTTTTCATGCCTATGAATATCAGCAACCCTGTTCATCCGGTGACCATTTTCCTGATCCTCTTGGTCATTTAGCCCTTTCCATTCATGACCACCCCCAGATTGTATGTTACAGACTAAGTTACTTGCCCGGTATCTCGGGTGCCAGATCTCTCTCCACAGTCAAGACTCTTCCATCCAACAGGCCTCAAAAATTCCAGGTCTGCAGAAGTGTTCTAGATCTGAAGTGCTGCAGCTCTCCAGCATTTATCCAAACACACTTAGTTTATGTCTCGACCAAACCCATGGTAGAAATCCAGAAAGCTAAAATGATACAATGGTAAAACTACTCCCCCCACCCAACATACACACACACATGCACACACACACACACACACACACACACACACACACACAGAGGATATTGTATTTAAGACAAAAGAAATAGGTAGTGCAAGAACCCATAATACCCCTGGGGCTCCTGAGCTCTGCTTGGGAGGCCACTCCAAAATAAAAATAAAGATATGTGTAGAAAAACACAGAGGAAAGTCTAGTTTATTGAAGCAGCAAACCACTGCAGTCCCTAGTATGAACAATTAACTTATATAAGTCCATTTGTCCTGTGCAAAAGAGAAAATTTCCAGATTGTCTACTAAATTTTAATCTACAGGACTCAGTAAAGACTTTCTTATAAGCTAACAGTATGCGCCAAAACTGCAACTGTCATTCAGTAAGTATTCGAGTGATGGGTAGGTGGGATGGAAGTTTGAAACAGAGGGGACATAAAGATGGGGTGCACACTCGGGGGTGATGATAAGCAGTAACTTTGTACATCAATGCCTTAAACTTCAATACCATTGCAATCTATTACTTTACTATATTAAAATCTTTTGTAAAAGCTTTTCTTCTATAAGATCAACCAGTTTGATTGACATGCACTGGAGGTTATAGCTAATCTTGGTATTACATCCCACTCTCTATAACTGCCAGTGTTATTTATCAGCCAAAAGATAAGGTAGGAATATAGACACAAAACTAAATGGAACTTGTGGGGTCTGGAGAGAGAATACAGTACTTAAGACACTGTCCATGGTCTCAAAGTACCACAAGGACTGATCGCCAAGCACAGAACCAGGAGTAAGCCCTGTGGCTCCAAAACAAAACAAAACAGAAATCAAAACGATTTGTGTCATGTCTCTAGTTTATCAACAAGAAGTCTTTTATAGTAAACCACTACAATCGGAGAACTTTCAAAATATTCTTTTGGAATGATGCCTAGAACACTGGTGAACACCAACAACAAACATAGGAACTGAATAAGCATTGCACTTGAAATTTCTAAAACTTTAGACAAAAGATAAACGATGTGCTTTGGAGTTTGATTAAGAGAGGAAGTTATGGCAGGGAATACAGACCTAATCGGACACCATCGGGGATCTGGGCGCATGCTAAGGAAACCTGTAGATAACTGAAACCAAAAGACTATTCAGGGGACAAGCAGCCCAGGAGCTAATAACTTTCGTTGCCTCTCCTTTATAATCAGCGTAATGACGGTCCTCAAGGCAGCTGTGTTTCTTGCTGCCTAGCGACTGAGTCTCTCTTGTTCTCATCTACTTATTTTCCGTCCAAGTTCCAGAGAGAGCATTCTGCCTCAGATAACAACCATTGTTCTCATTGTGCAGGGCCCTTCGGGCCACCTCCCACATTACTCACCAGCCAGCTGAACGTGGGCCACTTCATCAGATCAGGTGGCCAACTCTTTGTGTGTAATCAGCAACCGTCCTGCACATAACAACAGAGAACTGCCCCCACCAAGCAGTGGGGGGCATTAGCCACTAAACGGAGGTGGCTAAAATCAGCGCAGAAAGCATCCTGTTTTAAATATCACGTGGAAGCCCAGACTCTAATAAAATCCCTGTTTCCAAACTAAAATCTTAACCAATGAGGATTGAGTGAATCTTTTTTTAACCCTCCTTTTTTGATAAAATGACCCAAAATATGTAATTTTTGTCATTTGTATGATTTAAGTATATTTACATAATTCAGTTCACTCTAACTCTACTTTTATGTATCTTTGTGCTAAAGAATATACTGCTTTGTGGGCAATTGCATCCTCATTCCTGCTCCTTGGGAGATTTCTAACAGAAGCAACTACGTCTCCGTATATATCAAGTTGTGCAGACCTGAAAGAGTTAATAAATCTTTTTTTTAAGAAAATATACCCCAGAGTAGTTGGTAGAACATTTTGTTTATATTTCATTTGACTTAAATGGAGTCTCTATCTAATCCTCACAGAAATCCCCATGACAAAAGCATTTCTCATTTTATGGATGAGGAAACTGTTATAGGAAAGCAACTTATCCAGAGTCACCCAAAGAATTAGTGATGTAAGGATTAAGGCTCCCTATTCAGTACCCATCACCTCTCAGCACATCCCTTAATACCTGCTGTGGATAAAATGTAGTTTCTAGATGGATTAACTCATTGGAAAATGTCCCTGAAGCCAAGCATGGAGTGGACAGCATCTTTATATTATGATGCCCCCAGATCTACCTTAGAAAAACCTGTATTGTATGTTTATGTGTGTGTTAATGAACTCATTTCTTGAGTTGTTATATATATAAAGCTAAAACATTCTCTGTTTTTGCATTTTTTTAAGTTTTTATTAGTGAATCACCGTGGGCTGCAGTTACAAAATTACGAGCTTTTGTATTTTAGCCATACAATAATCGTTCACCCATCCCTCCACCAGTGCCCATTCTCCTCCACCAATGTTCCCAATATCCTTTCCACCACCACCCCCTATCCCCCCAAGACCCTGCCTCTGTGGCAGGGCATTCCCTTTTGTTCTCTCTCCTTTTGGGTGTTGTAGCTTGCAGTAGAGGTAGTGAGTAGCCATCGTGTTCGGTCTATAGTCTATTTCTAGCACGCAACATCTTTCAACCCAAATGGGTCATCCTAACATCCTTTACTTGGTGTTCCCTTCTCTATCTGAGCTGCCTTTTCCCCCAGCATGTGAGGCCTGTTTCCAAGCTGTGGAGCACACCTCCTGCTCCTTATCTCTACTATCCCTGGGAGTTAATCTCCAATTCTTTAATTTTATATTCCACAAATGAGTGCAATCTTTCTATGCCTTACCCTCTCTTCTGACTTATTTCACTTAACATGATTCTTTCCATGTTGATTCACTCATATGCAAATTTCATGACTTCATCTTTTCTAGCAGCTGCATAGTATGCCATTGTGTAGATGTACCAAAGTTTTTTTAACCAGTCATCTGTTCTTGGGCACTCATGTTTTTTCCAGATTTTGGCCATTGTAAACAGTGCAGTAATGAACATACAAGTGCAGATGTCATTTCTACTTTACTTTTATGCCTCTCCAGGATATATTCCCAGGAGTAGTATTGCTGGGTCAAATGAGAGCTTAATTTCTAATTTTTTGAGAATCGTCCATAGTGTTTTCCAAAAGGGCTGAACCAGTTGGCATTCCCATCAGCAGTGAAGAAGAATCCCTTTCTCCCCACATCTAAGCCAGCACCATATTGCTTTTGTTCTTTTGGATGTGGGCCAGTCTCTGTGGTGTGAGAAAATCAAGTATCTTGGAATCAGCTTAACTAAGGAAGTAAAAGACCTAATCAATGAAAATTACAAAACGCTAGTTCAGAAATTAAAAAGGACACGAGGAAATGGAAAGATATCTCCTTCTCATGGACTGGGAAAATGAACATTGTCAAAATCGCAATATTCCTCAAAGCTTTGTACAAATTCAATGTGATTTCTATAAGGATACCCATGACATTCTTCAAAGAAATGGATCAAACACTCCTGAAATTCATATGAAACAATAAGTCCCCACAAATAGTGAAAGAAATTCTTAGAAAAAAGAAACTGGGAGGAATCAACCTCCCCAACCTCTAACTCTACTACAAAGCAGTAATAATTAAAACAGCATGGTAATGGAACAAAGGCAGAGCTGCAGACCAATGGAACAGGGTTGAGTATACTGACACCCCCCCCTCAATATATGATCATCTAATCTTTGATAACAGAACGAGAAATGTGAAGTGAAGCAAGGAAAGCCTCTTCAACAAATTGAGCTGGCAAAACTGGACAGCTACATGCAGAAAAATGGGCTCAGATCTCTACCTAACACCATGTACAAAAGTAAGATCAAAATGGATTAAAGGCCTCAACATCAGACTGGAATCCCTAAGGTACATTGAAGACAAAGTTGGCAAAACCCTGCACGACATTGAAACTAACAGTATCTTCAAAGATGACATGCCACTGGCCAAGCAAGTGTAAACAGAGATAAACAAATGGGACTATCTTAAACTAAGAACCTCAAAAGAAACATTGACCAAAATACAAAGACAGTTTACAGAATGGGAAAGGATATTCACCAATACCCATCCAATAAGGGATTCATATCAAGGATATACAAAGCAATGGTTGAACTCCACAAGAAGAAAATATCCAACCCCATCAAAAAAGGGGTGATGACAAAAGGAGAGAGAGGACAAAAGGGAATTTCCTGCCACAGAGGCAGGGGGAGAGTAGGGGGATGGGGAGTGGGAGGGCTACTGGGATCATTGGTGGTGGAGAATGAGCACTGGTGGAGGGATGGGTACTCGATCATTGTATAACTGAAACCCAAGCACAAAAATTTGTAAGTCTACAACTGTACCTCATGGTGTTTCGCTAATAATTTTTTTAAATGGGGTGATGAAGTGAACAGAAACTTTCTCAAAGAAGAAATCCGAATGACTAAAAGGCACATGAGAAAATGATCTACATCACTAATCATCAGGGAGATGCAGATTAAAACATTCTTTGATATAAAAATCTTCTCAGGACATGAAGGGGGTCTCAGTGGAGGACCTCCAGCCTCGACTGAGCCTAGACAAGGCCTCCACCTGCCTCCCTTTCAGCTTCCATCTTCCGCTCAAATACTCCTGCAGCAGTGCCTAACTGCCTTGCAAAGTCTGACATTTGGCTCTTAAGAAATTTACTTAGAACATTATGAGATCTTTTTTCTTTGTAAAATCCACCACAGGATGTTCTGCCTTCTGGAATATATGAAATAAACTTGTTTTCTTTTCTATGGAAGGGACCATCAAAGAATTAAAGAGAACTTCTAGTCTCTGCTTAGCCTTTAGCACTGTCTAATGGACTTATTTCTTAATTACTCCTCATCTGTGACTCTTTTTTTGCTTTTTGGGTCACACCCAGAAATCCACAGGGGTTACTCCTGGCTCTGCTCTCAGGACTAATTCCTGGCAGTGCTCGAGGGACCATATGGGATGCTGGGAATCAAACCTGGGTTGACTGTGTGCAAGGCAAATGCCCTACCCTCTGTGCTATCACTCCAGCCCTATGACTGTTTCTTAAATTTTCACCTACTCTGATTCTTTTTCTGTATTTTTTAATCAATTGAATGAACATTACGTATTCCATTTTTCTAGTTCATACCATTTTGAGGGTCTCCTTCAGATCTATTTTATATGCATTATGTAAAGTTTTTCAACTTTTTCCACTTACTTGATAGTCCTCAAAAGTATAACAAAAATATAAGAAAATTTTAAGCATGATCAAAATATTACAATCAAAATTATTTTAAGAGTATTATAAATTCTAACCATGAATTAACCACAATATAAGTCAAAAAGTAATCAGTAATCATACACCCCTGAAAACTGTATTAATTAATTTTTTGTTTGGGCCATGCCTGACTATGCTCAGATTTTATTCCTGGCTCTGCGCTTAGGTATCACTCCTACTGGGTTTAGGGGAACAAGTGGGGTGTCAGGGATTGTATGCACATTGGACATTTGCAATCCAAGCTACTTACTTGCTATATTATCTCTCTAGCCCCTGAATAAAATATCATTCAAAAGTGTGATTTGAGATAAAAATAACAGAATCATGTATGCACCTAATCAACATACTCAGTCTTCATTAATTCACCTAACATCTAGTTTCTCGGCTTATTTGATATATGGTAAAGTGATATTTATATTAGTTTCAGAACCTAAAATGTGTTTGTTATAAAAGTTAGAAATTCAACCAAGTGATATAATTTCACACACCAAAGATTCCAAGTAATGAAAGCAATTCAAGTCTTTCCTTTTTATATCAATCTGGGGGCGGCAGGGAAAGCCCGTTGAACCAATGCTTGTCTAATTCATAGCCTTCTTTATATCTTAGTTTCTTTCCTCTAATCCCTCCTTTCCTAGCAATTATTTAATGTCACTGATAAAATGTGAAAGGTTAATGACTTTCTGCATCACTTATTTCTTGAAGAGTGAAACAGATGTTCCACGTTTGTACAGGTCTCCAGGATGTGTGGTTACAAGGGATCAAAGCAGTTTGGAAGTGTATTACCTTACCCAGAGTAAGACGCTGCCACACTCCAGATAGATTCAGCCAGGTGTATGGAGGGCAAACTCAGTACTTCATTCTTCCACATTCATTAAAGTAACTAAGAGCACTTTGGTAACAGATTTTGCTATCAGCCTCAGGCACACCTTCCAGTGCAGAATTTGACCAAGTGTACTGATGAGACCTGGCAACTGCTACCCAACATGATGGGAGCAGAGTTGGCAGAATGAGAGAGAGTTGGACATTTGGGCAGCTACAAAAGAAAGATTCCTAATGTTCTGTGTGAACTGAGGAGGAAGTACACTGTGTGGTTGGCAAAACTTCACGTGTCAGATTAAGATTTGCTATGTATTTTGAATTCTGTTTTATGAGGAGGATGATACAAACTATTTGACTGTTTCACAAAGGATGTGCTGTGTTGGTAAGAGACAACAGGTGATTACAGTGGACAGAATCTTTTGAGGTCCTCATGAGTTTTTTGTTTTGTTTTGTTTTGTTTGCTTTTTTGGGTGACACCCAGTGATGCACAGGGGTTACTCCTGGCTCTACACTCAGGAATTACTCCTGGCAGTGCTCAGGGGACCATATAGGATACTGGGAACCGAACCCCAGTAAGCAGCTTGCAAGACAAACACCCTACCCACTGTGCTATCGCTCCAGCCCCATCATGAGTATTTTTTAAGTTGTTCTAGAATGGGCTAGTAACTGGTTTCTCATCATTCTAAACAAGTTTTGACTGAAAAATTTATGTTGGAATTAATATGCCTATATACAAATTAAACTATGCTTTAATTTCTTAATAGTTTAGACATGTTATAATAGATACATGGTCATATTAGAATGGGTTGGAAAGTGCAACAATCAAGAGTTAGAAAAACAAATGTTATAGTGATAAAAATTCTTCAATTGAACAGGAGAAACACACTCTTGCAGAACAGTTTATTTATTAACTTCAAAAATATATACTTAGTGATTAGATTTAGGATTTCCTTTATACCTGAAATCACTTGATCACTTCACATCCCTTACCCATCATTTTTTTCGAGCGGATGCCAGTAATGTCTCCATTCATCCCTGTTGCATGTTACTGTAGCCCAATGGCGTCTGCTCATTCTAGGAACACAAAGAGCTTCAAACCAATCATTCAGAGCATTGACGAAGAAATCTGACCATCTCATAGGTGGGCAGCCACAAAATCTTTTGATGTCCCATGGAATCCAGTCAGTAATGGCTCTAGTCCAGCGGTCATCTCCAAATTTCATTACATGTCCAGCCCATCTGATCTTTGACACCTTGGTAAATGAGACAGCGTCCCTGATTCTTGACCGTCGACGGAGGTCAGAACTCCAGATTCTTTCTCTCATTTGAGTGAAACATGATACTCCAAGCATAGCTCTTTCGATTCCTCTTTGGGAGACCTGAATAATGTTCTCACCCTGTTTGCGTAGGGCCCAGGTCTCTGAGGCGTATGTCAATGCAGGAAGAACAGTGGAATCGAAGAGATGTGCCTGGAGCTGGAGGTTCTTCATCTTCTTAACTATTTCTTCGACATTCTTGAAGGCATTTCAAGCCATTCTCTTCCTCCTGCACAACTCAGGTTCAAGGTCATTCGTCATGTTGGTTTCTCAACTTAGGTACACATAACTGTTGCATTTGGAGATGTTTGTCCTGTTGAGAATTAATGGAACATCAGGAATGAGACTGTTTCTCATAAACATTGTCTTCATGAGATTCAGCTGTAGTCCAACCTTTCCACCCACACGGTCAAAGTCGGCCAGCATTTGTGCTGCTTGGCTGATGTTTGGTGTTATAAGAATGATGTTATCAGCGAAGTGGAGGTGGTGTAGTTGCCAACCGTCTATCTTCACTCCTAATCCTTCCCATTCCAGTCATCGCATGATGTTCTCGGGGGTAGAACTAAAGAGTTGTGGTGAAATGGTATCACTCTGCTGAACCCTTCTCTTGACGTCAATGATCACCTCCCTCTAGAATGGTGAGATCCTGGTAGTGAATCCGTAATAGAGCTCACAGAGGATCCTGATGTATTGACTTTGAACACCCTGTTTGGCTAGGGCTTCAATGACCGCTTCAGTCTCAAAAGAATCAAAGGTCTTCTTTAAATCAATGAACGTTAGACAGAGTGGCACCTTGAACTCCCGAGAAACCTCAATGAGCTTGGTTATCCTGTGGATATGGTCGATTGTGCTAAATCCTTGTTGGAGACCTGCTTGGTTTTATGGTTGTCCTTCATCTAGTGTTCTGCCAATCCTACACAGGATGACTCGAGTGAACAGCTTGTAGATAATAGATAACAAGCAGATTGGGCGATAGTTGCCAATGTCGTGGATGTCTCCCTTCTTGTACAGTAGTACAGTCCTGCTGGTTTTCCATTGGAATGAAACCTTGCATTCAGACAGGTAGCAAGTGAAGAACGTATTGATGAGTACTGACCACATGTTCTTTAGGTGTTTGGGTCTGACCTTGTCTGGGCCTGGTGCTGTTTGCATCTTTTCCAATGAAATAGCGTGTCAAATTTTGGAAGGGAGAACTTTGGGAACAAGATACCCATCCTGCAGCATTTGGTATGTGGGCAGGTGGACATGGATATTTAAGGGATCTGAGTAGAAGTCATGGATAATCTTCTCCATTGCCCTTCTGGAAGATGTGATAGGTCCATCAGGATTTCGGAGGGCAGTCATCTTGCTCTTGTAGTTGGCAAAGGACAGGCAGGCATTGCGAATGCTTTTCCCGGCTTCTGCTGCATCTACCAGCACTGCTGCTCTTCTCTTTGAGGTCTTCCTTGATTGCTTCTTTGCACTGCTTTACAAATTCAGATGTTGGCTTGGGGTTGCT